TTGCTTTGGGTCTATATTTTTGGGTTGAGTGATGCTTTGAAATAAGTAATATTTTCAGTAGGAAATATTATTTTTCCTTAACTTGTCTACTCCACTGTTTTAGAAATAGGTTAAGAGAAAACCAGACATTTTAATGGCAAAATCTTCACTATGATGTCACCAGCTCCAATCTAGCATTGGTAATATGCAGTCAAAGCATTTCAGGCAATCATCATGACCTTGGAGCTGCACCTGACTCCACATCACACTGCTGTGCAAGAGGAATAAACAGGAATAGGCGTGTGATTGATCCTCTATAGGGCGCTAGTTAAACCCCAGGCACAAAAAAAGTATTTAAATATATGCCTAAATAGCCACAAACTATATAAAACCAAGGGTAGCAGTGACAGCATCAATGTGCTGCAGATTGCCTGTGCAGACAGCAGAGCTGTAGAAGGGACTCAGCAGGCCCCACCCACGTACAGACTGCCTGCAGAAAATTACAGGAGGGGGGGGGATACAAGACCAGTTACCCTGCACAAGGAGAGAGAGCAGCAAGGACCAGTCTTTATTACAGGAACCTCGTGTACAGAGGCAAACTGCAGAAGATGTTTCATGCAGGATTTCTACACAGATCTGGAAGAAATACGCAAAGAACTACAAGATTCAAGAAAAAAATAAATATGCCTCTGTATTTTGACAATATTTTTTCAGCCCGGAGTTTAGCTCTAAAGGCAGTGCATTCAATATGGCTGATCCATAGTTTGATGTAAACATTACATACAGGAACACTATACATACGGCAATAACATATTAACTTGAATGTCAAGATCCAGAGAGCAAAAAACTATAGAAGGACCAGTAAATCAAAATACAAATTAAATTACATATGTTTCCACGTTTTATACTAACATTTAGAGATTCATATGAAAACACACCTATCTTGCATGTTACTGCATTTTGAAGTCCAGCTTTGCATTTTGCTGTATTTATATTATCTTTTATACTATTTTTAAACTTTGTTTTTAAAGGAATTTCCTATGACATCATTAGAAAACCAGGTAGCAGCTAAAGATGACTCCTCCCTGGTCATAGTCCTGTAAGGTGTCAGACAAACCTAAAAATAAGTAAACCCCCC